ATCCATGTTTGATCCCAGGTATGGGAACTCTTTTACTATTTCTATTTCATCATTGTCTAGATGTTGAACTTGTGAAGGTCTTCCTCGGTGGTCATTATTTTTGTTTTCTTTAGGTTCAGCATTAATCCTGTCTTTGCACTTTCTTCTTGGATCTTCCCTAGTAGATGTTCCAGGTCTGTGAGGTTCTCTGCTAGTACTCTGGTGTCATCCGCATATCTTAGATTGTTGATATTCCTTCCTCCTGTTTTCACTCCTCCTTCTACTTCTGTGTCCAAGCCTGCTTTTCTTATATTATATGTTCTGCGTACAAGTTGAACAGACACAACACTGGGAGAGGCAGACAGCTTTTGGGTGCAAAGCATGGGCTCTGAATAAAAGCCCATCCTCTCATGGAGTTTAACTATGGGACCCCATTGGTCCGCACACTCGTTCTCTGGCATCCCAGGGCAGAAAGAGGGTCTGTTTAACCTTGGCAAACACCTTTTTCATACAACCACAGAGAGGACTATACACATGGACATCACCAGATGGCCAACACCAAAACCAAATAGATTATATAATAGGAAGCAAAAGATGGAGAAGTTCCATTAGGGTGGCCAAGACTAGACCAGGTACAGGCCACAAACTATTTATATTAAAAATAAGAGTGAAGCTGAAGAAGAAACCAGAACCAGTCATCATACCAAAATATGATCGGAACAATATCTCAACAGAATTTACTGACAATGTAAGAAATAGATTTAGGCTATTAAGCATAACTGACCAAGAATCAGAAAAACGACAGACAGAAGGCAAGGACATAATCAAGGAAGAATGCAGACAGACACTTTCATGGTAATGGGGAAATAAAACGGCTTGTATGATTCTAACTTTAGTGCTCAGTTGTGTATCTTTGCTCTTTAGGATCATTTCTGGTACTTTCATTGCTGCCCTCCCCATTCTTAATCTTCTGATTTCTTGACTATCGTCCCAATTCCTATCAGTGTTTCATCCCAAGCATGAGAAGTCTTTTACTATTTCCTCATTGTCTAAGTTGCATTTGTATATAGACCCTCCATAGTCATTATTTTTAACGTTCAACAGTAAGTCTGCAGCAAATAGCGCTTGGGAAAGCTGCTTTCAAAAAAAAAAATCATACAAAAAGGGGGCCTCTCAGGGGTTCTAGGAATCAAAGTCCAAAATAATATCTGATTTCATACACAGAGTTTTCATTTGATTCACGTTTATTCAGAAACACACACGCTCAAGAGATCAGGATGTGCTTTCGTAGTGAGAGTAAAAAAATTGCACGTTTTGTGTCATATATTTGACACAAAACTGATCCGTGCACGTGTGATGAACGAAACCTCTCATCTTTGTTGCCCTGTGGGACCAGGAACAGCACCAGTAAATCGGAGGAGGAGGCAAAGGGCACCCAAGGTGTTGGTGGCCTCCTCCTCCTCCTCCTCCTCCTCTTCCACACTGGAGTACACTTTTGCTGCTGTTGTTGTTGCATCCCGGCAAATGCCCTGGCCTTAATCTAGAGGCACGTGTCACATTTCCAGGAGAGCCTTACTAAAAAGAGTAATCTCGCTTGAGCCGGGATTTCAGTCTGGAGATTTGGAACAGCAGCCACACATCTTGCATGATCAGCTGAGCAGGACCAACAAACATGACTTCGGGCAGAAAGCACAGGAGGGGGGCTTCTGTAGAGTCACACAGGCTCACACCATGCCAGCTTTACTTGTTTAAAGCACGTACAGACCATCGAAGGAAGGCATCATGCAACGCACCATGGAAGAAGCTTTAAGCGATCTCTGGAAAGTTCAAAATACTTGCAAGGCTTACCTGACCTGGTCGTTGCAATTCACACATGCAGTGTGTTGAGCCGCTCTGTTTGGCGGTGTTGGAACCCATTGCTAATCTTTCCGTGCTATTTCTGCCTCTGGTACCAAATTTTTCTGTCCAAAAGGTAAATGTCCAGGAACACATCAACTTGGCTAACTCAGATACAGCTGTATTAAGAAAACCATGCATTATCTTCCACAGGCTGTGAATAGGGTTGGATCTAGACCTAGCAGCACTCTTCTCCAGGAACCAAACTGTCAGCCTAGCAGAAGTTATTTTTTCTTTCTTAATTACAAAGAATGCATCTCAGGGATAGCCCACTTGTGGCAGGGAAAAAGGTTGAAATTTTAAATAATTTCAGCTGGGGGGACCCATCCGAATGAATTGCTGTGCATTTCCAGTACGGAGAGCTGCCCAAATCAGGCATAACTGATTTAGCTGAAGCTTTCTTCTCATGGACGAGGGCGGCATAAGCCCTCCAGATACAGATGCCAGCACCTAAAGGTGGAGGGGCAGATGGTTAGCTACAGATGGAACTAGACAGATGGCGAAACCCATCCTGGGGCACCTTGGAGGTTTTGAGCCTGGAGGGGAGCAATTGCCGCATTGCAAAGCAGTTGGTTCACTAGTTGGGTCTCTAGCAGAAACCATGTGTGCTTTCAAAGTCACCTTGAGGACTCACTATGGTCAACTCAAAGTCATCGGATTCAGCAGGCCTCTTCTCATTGTATTTTTGCACAAATGACACTAAATGTGGCATTTCTTTACTGCTTTTTCAGCAATTCACACCCAGAAAAAAAAAGCTACCTGATCCCTCGGGACTGCTGAGATTCCCACCATATTTGTGACCTTTGACTGCATATCTATTAAGAACAGGAGTTTTCCCCCCCTTCCAGAAGAGCTGCACAACTGTGAGGTAGGATTCATGCAGGCCTGCAGGTGTTGTTGGACTACAACTCCCATCAGGCCGGCTCAGCAGAGTTAATCAAGAGGAATTATAGGAGCTGCAGTCCATTTGGAGGACAGCACAATTTACATCCCTGGTGTAACAGCACAAACCACTGATGGCTCCCCAAAAGGATTTTGGATTTCCCTTTGCAAAAGGAAAGCTTGCATTTCCCCCCAATAGAGAAAGCTCCTTTGTGTTCTTCAAGGGAGCAATTTGGCCCCCCAAAGCTAGGCACTTTTGCAAGCAGGAATTCAGCTGCTAGGGAAGTTGGAGCATATCAATGTGTCCCTTGCAGACAGAATCACACCTGAATGGGAAGAGACTGCATGACTTCAAGGATAGGAAGACAGCTGAGGTCTTTTGTTGGTTGTCTTTTGTCTTTCAAGCTGTCTCTGGCCTCTGGCACCCCTCTCCTAAGGTTTCCTTGGCCAGATTTTTCCAAGAGGAGGTATGCTACCATTGCCTTCCTCTGAGGAACAAGGCCAAAGTCCGCCCAGTGGGTTTCCAGGGCTAAGTGGGAATTTGAACCTTTGCCTCCTGGAGTCTTAGTCCAACACTCAAATCCACTACAGCATGCAGGCTTTCCCATCCTCTTGCCTTCCTGCTTTTTGTTAAAGCAAAGAAGCACCACGAACAATCTGCATACCACTGCAGTTAAATATGTGGCTGAATATCATTATGTGAAGTCAAGTCAGCTTCAACTTATGCCAACCCTTTCAAGACAGCTTGTTATCAATAGGCCTGCTCAGGTTTTGCAGATTCAGGGCAGCTGTGGCTTCCTTAATTGACTCAATCTGCCTGTAATGTGGCTTTCCTTTTCCTATTGCTGTCAGTGCCAGTGTGTAGTGGCTTGAGTGTTGGACCATGACTCTAGAAAACAGGGTTCAAATCCCCGCTGCCACAGAAACCTACCTTGGACAAGTCCCACTCTTTCAGCCTCAGAGGAAGGCAAGGGCAAACTCCCTCTGAACAAACTTTGCCAAGAAAACCCTGTGATAGAGTCATCATAGGTCAGAAATAACTTGAACGCCTTCAACTTTACCAAGCATGATCATCTTTTGAGTCATGTAGTCTCACAATGAAAGCCAGTGTGGCATAGTGGTTTGAGCACTGGACTATGACTCTGGAGATCAGGGTCCAATTCCCCGCTCAGCCACAAAACCCACTGAGTGACCTTGGGCAAGTAACATGCTCTCAACCTCAGGCAAGGCCATAGCAAACCTCTGCTGAACAAATCTTGTCAAGAAAACTCCACGATAGGTTTGCCCTAGGATCACTGTAAGTCAGAAACAACGTGAAGGCACACAAAGTCTCAGTTTGTCCAAAGTACAACAGCCTCAGTTTAGCCATTTCACCCAAAATTATGCTTCTGAGTCCCAACCCAAACTAATTAAATAAAAATAAAGCCAACTTCTCCAAGGGGAACTATAATAACGTAATTTGCCATCTCTAATAAGAGTGACAGCACTGCTTGGCCAAACCTGCCTTCCTTGCAGTCAGGCCCCTCAGGGTCCTCTGCTGCTTCCCAAAGGTCTCCGAGTCCCCCTTGGCTTGGCCTGCCAACAGCCATCGTCCACATGGGTTCTGCTTTCTCAAGAGGAGAGTGGGAGAGGCATTCAAGGGCTGCTGCTAGAGGAGGAGGAGGACTCCCACACAGCAGCCTCTCTTAGCAGGAAGCCTTGCAGCAGGAGAGTGTCAGCATGAATAATTACAGCCAGGAAAGAAGATGGCCGAGTAGGGTGGTGCCAGAAAGAGACTCAGGCTAGGCTGGAAAGTGAATACAACACACCATGAAATTACTGAGAGGCCTTGCATAACACACAAGGGAGCCCAGGCGTGACGGGGGGACGCCATCTTAGTGCTCTCAACCCGGTTCTCCCATGCTTCTGGTTTCCCACTTTGTGTGTCTGCTGTACAAAGCATTTCCCAGTCATCGCCTCATTCCTGTCTCTGGTGAAAGAAAGTCAAAGAAAAAGCCCACACTGTCACAGAACCTGCATATCTTTCAAATTCCATCCACCAGCTTTTCGTAACCTGGAACCTTCAAGATGTGTTGGACTACAATTCCCCAATCAACCTGGCCAGATGTTGACTGGCAATTACCAGGAAGGTTGGAGTCCCAAACCCTTTTGAAGGACACCAGGCTGGCGGAGGGGGAGGCATACCTTACAGCATTTTTAGATTGTGAATGCTATTAACCAACCATTTGGAAGATTTATGTTCAAATCCTCTCAGAAACACATGTTCAGGCCAGCCCTGTGCAGATCATCTTCTGTAAACACAGAAACTGTGGCAGTCAGTCACAAGGCACTGCAAGAATACATGATGAGGAATTGTTCATCTCTTTTCCCCACTGTTTAAGTATGAGCTCAGATGAACACTCTAGATGCTTACAGCTTGCAAAAAATAACAGCAGTAGCACCACCCAGTGGGAACTTCTACTCACAAACAACTTGGGCACATAAAGACTGAGAAATGTATAGATCCAACTACAAGTCGAGTATCCCTTATGAAAAAAATTGAAATATTCCAAAATCCAACTTTTTTCATGGGTGGGTCAAGATAGTGACACATCTGCTTTCTGATAGATCAACATGCACAAACTTTGCTTCATGCACAAACTTAAAAATACTGTATAAAATTACCTTCAGTCTATGTGCATGAGGTGAATATGAAAATGAACGATTAGAGTCCCAACTCCATGGTATCTTTGCATTACGTATATGCAAATATTCCAAAAAATCCAAAAAAGTCTGAGACACTTCTGGTCTCAGCCATTTTGGACACTCAGCCTTTACTTGGCAGATACATCTCTTTTTAGAGAATGAATAACTATAGCATATCACATTTCAAATGTGCTCTACAGACCCTCCTGAATGCATGTAAATATTATTGTTAATATATTTTAAAACATGGCCACAGCTGGCAAATGTTTGTGTGCATGTACAAAAATGATTCTATCAGGTCTGACTGAATAATTTCAGATTTTATACAAACAGATCAATGGCTTGGTACTTCCCACCAAGTGCTTTCATGTATCCACTCTGAACCCCAGTGGACTGGTCCCGATCCATTATCCCTCACAGCAAAAACAGAAGGAGATCATTTCAACTGATACCACTTCCTTTCCTGAAGCCAATTCTGCACTACCTGTCATGAGGCAATGAGAGACAGCCAAGGGCTACCGTCAAGAGACCTCTTCATGAGTATGACCCTGATGTCCACTTCACAATCCATCCCTCTTTGAAATGGAAGCTGAGGTACCTTTCCATTGTCATGTTATTTCCGACTTTTCCTGCATAACAGAATGGGATCGGACTGGATGACCCTGGTGTTCTCTTCCAATTCTGTAATTCTATAACCTAAATACGCTTCAGTGTGGTGTATATTCTGCCTAGGCACAATGAAAGAAGTTTTGAAAACATGTAGCTTGCTTACCTGAGGTCTTCATTTTGCTGGGACAAGCCTGGAAGCCAATGCTCAAAAATAAAAGAAAAAAAGGCAGAGAGATTGGGAATGAGGCTTATTTATTCCCTGAGGCCACAAGATGGTGTCATTCAGAGGCCCCTTTGTCTCAATTTCAATTCAAATTCTGCCTCCCCTCACCCTGAAAACATTACCATGTACTAAAAGCATATCCCTCCCCCTAAGACTCAGATGAAACTGACATTTGCACAAATTAAAAGGACAAATAGCAACTTGAATGAACAATGCATGTTTCACAACATCAGGAAGTGCATGGCGGGGAGACGGAATTATAAGGATTCCAAAGATACCTCCCTTTGGGATCTTCTCAGGAAGAAGCAGCAACTGAGTCACCAAGTCATCTATACTCTGCTGAATCCTTTAAGAGTGGAAGGAAGTCAGGACTCTCCAAGTGGTTATTTAGTATGGAATTATCTTCTGAGGATGGCACTCTTTCCTCACACTGCATGCTGGAGGACTGTTTGCAAGTAAATACTGATCACTGGGAAAAAAGGCTATAAATAACAAAAGTGACACTTCCTTCCTATCTGGTACAGACATTTGATGCAGAAGTCAAAAACAGATGGAACAGCTACTCCAAGATACAAACGTTTGTGCAAATATCCAATACAACAGTTCTAACCCACTTCATTAAGAGGCAACTGCCAACTGATTCCCTATTACAGTATTTTCTGGGAGACTCAGCTGTTACTGACACACAAATCTTAAGGACAATTAAAACTTACAAGGCTACAGACCTAAAAACCTTCCCTCTCTGCATCAGCAGATGCTTACACATGTAAACCACTTTTAATACTGACACACACAACACTAAACCATGGTTTAGCACTCGGTTCATTGTCGTCGTCCCCAAGTTGCTTCCTATGGGCCTGGGAAAATGGGGTTGTAGGCATTTAGTTTCACTTTTCCATAATCTCTGCTTGCTACTGTATACAAACCAAGGATCCTATTTTCTTAAATATGCCAACCAGTTCTGAAACAAGCCAAGTTTAATCCAAGGATGACACATCTTAATTTACAAGTCTGTGATCAACCACACACAACAAGCCTAGTTTTTGTGAAAGTGAAACTAAACACTACCAAAAAGGCTGAGGGAGAGAGAGTGTGACCCCACGTCTTTCTGCAGACTTTTCCCAGCTTGCACAACCTTGTGATCAATTAGGGGTGAGAAAATGTGCCACTCTTCTGGTGTTGCTGAACTATAATCTCCCAGCAGCCCTAGTTAACACAGCCAAACTTGAAGAATGCTGGGAGTTATAGTCCCATAATTCCAGAGGGTCACACTATTCTCACCCCTGCGTTACCCTATGCCTATGTTTCACACAAGACAGCTACATGTGTAAGAACTGCAGCTTCTATAGCAAAGTCCCTGGCTGGGTTTTGAACTAGTGCAACCATTATGAGGTAACACATACTAATACCAAAGAGCCGTTCTAACTAACTAACATTAGCCCTATGTTTCAATTCACCATCCCAAATGCCCTTGGCATTTACTGCTCAAGAGGAAGCAAAGGCAGTGTGACAAGCCCCACCAACAGGAACTATCTTCTTCACACCCTTCATCTACAGCACAAAAGTACAAAAAATGGCAGTCTATATTAAACATGTTAGTAAACCTAAGACTGTGAGTGATGGGGGCAGGTTGTTGGGGGGCGCACGCCATGATTGTGCCAAGTCTGGTTTAACTTCTTAGGCATGTTGCAATTATTCTTTCCAAATGGACACACAGGGACTGTGTACACATCTGTGTGATTTCCATCAGAACACCTGCAAGCTACTTTGGCACTAGGTTGCTTCATGCAGGACCTGCCATGCTGCTTCATCTAAGGAAAACTGCTCCTACCTATTTAGGAACGATCAGATTAAATCCAATACTGCAAAGCCAAAGACTTCAGTTAAGAGAACATGATGACACCACTTCCTGTTTTGATAGCTGATAACAGGCTTCTTGTGACAAAGCATTTAAGCTGCAAGAAAAACTTGCTCACCTTCTTTCACACACACTCCCGCCACGCTCATTCAGGCGTAAATTTCTCACATATAAAAGCAAGTGAAGAAGCAGAACAACTTAAGAGGACAGGCTCCAAAGGCCCACACACCCTGACCCACTCGTTGTTCTTCGAACTGAACTGGACCATGACAGCAGCCAGGTAATTCAGCCACAGAGGTAACTTAGCTTCACTTCACTTTGCTGTACTAACATTTCTTTAAAAAGGCACCATTTAAAAATCCACAATAAAATCTAACAACTAATGCTCCATTCTCCTATTGACACACACCTCATTCACACAGATTGTCTTAAGAGGCACAAGATAAAATCCTGGATTCACAACAGCAGGCAGCTACTTAGGGTCCAAGACTGCAATGAGGCCATACGAGCATTCCACGTTGTCTTTTGGGATGTGATTTGGACGACAGGAAAACCAGGACCAGACAAGGAGTTATTCAGTCCTGCGAGAAAAGCAGCTAAAGGAATGAAGCAGCGTTGACATCCCACCGGGCAGGTAAGTAAGTGGAACCTAGCTGCCCTGGATGATGGAGCTCTCATAGCTTCTTCAGGCGACTGTAGTGTTCTCTTTTGCTCTTCTCACCTGCCCAAGTTCTGCTTTTGGTGCGGAATTTGCGCAAGTCTTCCTTGAAGTCTTCATGGTGCATGGGCCGGTAGCCCTG